GCTATGATTACAAATGGGGTGTTGTCTTTCCTTTTCCCATCCCAGCCTGGTCGTGTGGAAATTTATAGGGAATAAAAAGAAATTGCCCTAGGTACTCAAGTTTGTCCTCATCTTCTGGAAGAGAGAAAATTTGACTAAAGTTTGGCAGCGCCTTGACATTTCTGATCTAATAAAGGTCTCAATTTTGTAGGAGTTGGAACTTATGGGTATGAATCAGCGGAAGAAGGGTGATTGATGACGAACTTTAGGAAAAAGTCGTGGTTATGCATTTCCCATGTCTTGTGCACTTGGTTTTGGTTTCCTTCATGCTCAGAGAGGAGGCAGAGCTTCCTTTCTCTACTGTTTTCCTGCTGCATCCCAAAGGATAGACAGGGGTGGCTGGGGAACCCCCGCACATCCGTGAATGCTGTTTAGCGACTGTGGGAGCTTTGGAAACGACAATCCTGGCCTAAAGTGCAGCTGCCGGCCCAGCTACACTGCAGACCTCCCTGGATGTATCTGTGTATCTGACATCTGCCTGCTCTGCTTCCCTGGAGGAAGCAGCTTCTACCCCAAGGCTGCCTGGGGTAGAAAATGAAGCACTTTGATGGGGGCCTTCCTGCAGAAAAGCTGGAGCCCAGCTTGGGGATGTTCTGGATGCGGCAGCTTTGCTGATGAGATTTTAAAGAAATGTTAGGATATGCTTAAGTTTGGACACAGGCTTTATGGTGTAGCCCATTCGTACGAGCTTTACAAGTACTGGAAGTTTTGGCTCATTGTCTCCATTGCAGAATTCAAGGAATCATTTCAAACCAACCCAAGTAATATTGTAGACAGAGGTGTTTTGAAAGGCAGGCAAAAAAGGTGGTTTGGAGTCATYGTGGGCACGGGCTTGCTCTATACGCAAGTTTTAGAACTGACCTTCAAGAAGAGTTTTTTAATATTTCAAATCAAATGGTTTTTATTTTCAAATTAAATTTCATCTGCACTCCAAGTTTCTTTCTGATGATATATATCAATAGAAGTCAGTATCATCAATTTGCTGTGTTGAGAATGATTTCTCCCAGTGTCAAGCTGCTGTAGCTCTTGCCCACCTCTCCAGTGGCTGAGCACACAGAGACCATTGAAGCCTGCTACTCCTGTGAGGCTAATAATGTTGACCTTTGAGCTCGAGTAGGAGAGACTTATGTTTGCAGGTCAAGAGATCCTGGCTCAGTCCCTGCAGACAAACCATGCAGGGAGATGACTGCAGGAGAGCAGAGCTTCACTCTGAGCATACAAAGATCATTTCAACCACCAGTGAAGCGAAACAGCTGGGGGAATTGAGGTGGATATGATAGTTATGGTGATTCTGGCCTAGTCTCCCCCTTCTAGGCCTGAAAATTTCAGTGTGTTTGAGAGAAGCAGTTTCCCTGTTACTCTAGGGTCTCCCAAGCCATACTGGGCTGTGCTTGAATGTTCTGGTGGTCCTCCTTTCATAGGCCGGGAAGGATCTGTAGCCTTCTCCCTGAGCAGAGTGCCTAGATGACAAGGGAGGCATTTCCACAGCTGGGCAGGAGGCTGACCTTAAGCCTTACCTTAGATTTGAGCTGAATGCTGCAGCTAGCTTTAGATGGACACCTGCTCTTCAACTCTGGAGCACCAGGGACAAATGGATGTTCCACCAAGAGCTTTTCAACTGAAATGTGTGATGCTGGTCCTCTGTTCCGTCTCAGTCCTGGCTGCATGGTGACCTTGAGCTCTGCATGGCCGGACTTGCAGGATTTGAGCCTGGTGAGGCAAACCTTGAGGAAGAAGAGCATCCAGCTGCTATAATGTGTCACAGTGATGGCCAGGCTTGGCATAAATCCAGCTTTGCATAGAGGGAGGCAGCTGTTGAAGCCCTTCAGTGCTGAGACATGAGACCTTTCCTTAGATCAGAGGCAATGCTGGAGAGGTACAGACTTCCTGAAAGCAAATAACAAACTGAACCACCAGCCTGCAAGCATCAGGCCTGGATTTATCTCCCTCACTGAGCTGAGGGCATATCATGCCCCTCCATCAGTAGCTACTCACGTGCTTGGAAATAGTATCCTGGCAAGCGACAGCAATTTGCCTCCCTTCTGATGGGTTGCTAGAACTCGACGTGGTAAGAAAGTCTTGTCGCCCTTTCCAGTGAAGGAATCTGTTCCTTCTGTAATATGAACTACTACAAGAGGGAAAACAATTTGCGCTGTTATCAGGCTCTTCTACCCTGCAGTTAATGGGACCTTCACTCTCATTTAATTCTCAGTTCACAAATTAGTGGGAAATGCAGGATGTAGAGGAGTTCATCTGGAGAAGGAAGAGGTTTGTAGAGAAATCCTCCGGAGAGGTGCACAGCATTTCCCAGCCCGAGGCGGGGCAGTAGTCTTGCCAGCATGTAATGCAGAATGCAATGATTGTTCCAAGCAGAAATGATTTAACCTTGAATGAGAGAAACATAACCAAACAGCAACAGTGGAGCAATAAAGAAATTCCATCTCTGATCTCCTGTGACCCACGTTCTGCTCAAACGGTTCAGATGTCACCGATACATTATTTTCATGAGTGACTGTAAGTGCATTATGCATGAGTGTGTGGCCACTGGTGGATAAGCAGCGCATTCTCCTAGGGAGCCGATATAATCTATTTGATTTCACAGGGCTGGACTGTGCTCTCTTCTTTAGAAGAATTGTGGCTGCTCGGCAGAGGCATGGGATGGTGCCTGTGTGTTTGGTACCAAACAAGGATTTGTCGCACAGTCCCCTGGAGGTTTGATTATTACAGCCCCCAGCAAGAGCTTAAGGGGTAGCAGCAGTTTGACTGCTTTTGGTGTTTGGAGGTACCACACGTACATGTCCAGYTCTTAGCATGTACCTGGGCAGCATGTCAGGTGGTGGCAGCAATACAAGCCCAGCTACTAGAGTGGAAATGAGAGGGTAGATCACAGACTGAAAGAGGGAAGTGCAGTGCATCTCACATCTGAAGAGGCCATGTGTGATCCCTCCCACMCTGTTTTGGGAGAGCAAGTGTCTCCCAAGCTAAGCATGGGAGAAAATGAATCCAAGCTGGGAGCTTCCTTTGCGCTCCAGCTTTGTGCTCTCTAGAGCTTTGTGGTTTGTCCTAGAAGGATGTAGTCACAAAGCTGTGTTCAGATACAGGCCTAGAGGTCCAGCAGGCTCCAGTGTTTGAGTGGATTTAAGTCAGGATGCTGGAAGAGGAGCGGGATATGGTGGTATATTGAGGGTTGGTGCCAGGGACACCTCAAGGAAGGTGAAATGACCAGGATACAGATCTGCACTGAAGGCAGAGGATTTAGCAGTTGTATTTGCAATGGAGAGGAGTTCAGTGAGAAATAAGATACAGCTGGCTCTTCCAGAGCTGGCAGGTGGATGTGGTTTTGCTCTTGTAAACAGTGGCTGGGCTGCTATAAAAAYATGGGCCTGCTGCAATGGGGCTTGTGTGTCGACCGTGCGGCCTGAGTATGCCCCAAGGGACACTGAGGGCTTTTTCTGCACTGGTAATGTGAAGATGGTCTTTTCATTAAGCCCTCCTGTTGTCTAGTGGTTACCTTGCATGGATCTAGTGGCTTCTCTCCCCCTTTTTTTTGAATTCTCGTTCTGCTTCCCTTTCAGACAGGTACCTCTGGCTGCTGCCTGTCCTGTGGAGCAGAAACAGGGTGCCACAGCATTGGTCATCTACCTGGGACCTGCACGCCTACCTTGTTGCCCTGTGGGAGCTCTGATGCAGGCTGGGAACAGCCTCCTTGAAATCATGTTTATTACATGAAAGAACACATCGGAGGCCAAGGGAATGCTGAACAGCAAAAGGCTCACAGCACGTTCTACCTCATCGCATCTTACGCACTGCCTCTGATGGGCTTTCCCCTTAGTATTTGCCTTCTCCTAACAAAGCTCCGGTCCCCCTCCAGGGCTCTCTTTCTGCCTTCCCCAGTCCTATCCTCACTTGACTGTAGCGTTTCCTGGGAGCACCCAGGCAGTGTCCGACCAAATGTGTGTCTAGCACTGAGGTCAAGTGGGTCTGGGTTTGATTAGRAATCTAGGGAACCGGACACAACATCCACATCTGTAGCTTGTAGCTGCAGAGGACTCCCCCACATGGAAATTAGGTTATTTTAATTGTCTTGTATGCACATTAGGCTACCAGAGTGAAAAATAACAGCAAGGATCTAGAATTAGTTGCTCTGCTGTATTTTTCACTCTGCTGAAGTGGATGCTGGCAGGCAGCGTTTGTGAAGAGCATGTTTTTTGCTCCTTAAGGCACGACCTGTTTGAGGATGAACGTTGCATTTGTGGGACAAGCAAACTGGGGACATGGCAGTCTCATAGGTGGTCTGGGTTGTCCCTCAGCCCCAGACTTACTGCTCCATGAGGTGTAGTCCCAAGGCCAGCTCTGTTTAAAGCCAACAGCAAATGCCTTCACTGAAGGCCATGTCTAAAAGCACAGGATGCCCCCTCCAGCCTTCACGTTGGAAGTACTTCTAAATTCACTGGATGTCACTGTTACAAAGCAATGAGAAGAAGCATATTTCAGTCTATACTTAGCAGAATGCTTGATTTCTTAGTCAAAAGGGCAAAGCACAGCATCAGATAATGAAAATCAGCACTGCTGCAGCCATTTCGGGGGAACTTAGTGGCTTTAGACCTGATTTGCACTCTGTGGGCAAATCAGCCCCAGAGTGTTTTTGTGAGAGTTGTGTTGAATACTAACGAAAGCATTGAACCTTCTAGAGGTTTTTCCCACTCATCTCAGAAACCTGCCCTGTGCCTTTGAGGTCTATCTTAAGTAAGAGTTTGAACAGTAGAGGCCCCAAAGCAGAGCACTTTTTTTTCTGGTTAAGTGGGGAAAAAAAAAATCAGTAAGTAAACCTATCATATAGATGTTCTTGAATCACAGCTGCAGTGAATTGGAGGCTGCAGCCCAGAGGAAGACTGGAGTTATATGAGAAAAGTGTATTTCAGTATGAGTATCTTGTGCTTATCCCTCTGTCTTCTTTGCAGGATGGATTGTGACGAGGCTGCAGGACTTCTGATTGCCAAGGGACCCCAAGCAGCAGCCACTCTTGATCTTGTTTCCTGTAGGAGCAGTCACTTGGAGGGAAGAGGTATATATTTCTGAGTATATAATTCCTTCTACTAACTACATTTCAGTAAACTAGTTTCTGCTCATAAACGTGGGGAAAAAAGCAGTACTGTTTTCTGTCTTTACCTGAAAAAATGCTGCTTTGACTTTCCGAAGTCTGATAACCTGACTGTGATTATGTTTCTGCTGAAAAGAAACAGGTTGTTATGGAGAACTGAGAGAATTATTCCATAGGCATGTACAATATTTGCAAATCTAAAATGTCACACATCATCCCAAAGTCACAAAGCGTGAGGCTGTGGTGCCAGATACTCTATCAGCTTGTGTCTGCTGTCCCCCTCCGGGAGCTTATGTTCGTAAACAGAGCCCTCAGATTTGCAGCAGTTTGTGCCAGGCGGGACCCTGAAATAAAGGCTAGGTGACAGGGCCACCTTTTACTTTACAGCCCCAAGCCATGTCATTGCTATGCAGTGGATGCCRGAGTTCCAAGTAAGCAGGGTAGTGTTCTGCAGCACTTTGTGCTATTGCACAGCAAGCTCTTGCATTTTAGGGCATTTTGTGTTCACTTTGTGGGACAGAAACACAGCGCTAAGGAAACTGGGATCCTGAGCAGATTGGCACATGTACATTGGAGTCTGCTAGTGGCGAATGCTGGTCTCCCACTCCTGAGACTGCAGAGTGCTGATCAGGAGCAAAGTCAGGGCTATAGCATTCCCATATCCTCCCAAGAGACAAAGTGGCTCGCTGAAATGCTGCACTTTGAGCTCGGAGCACCTGGCAAAGCTCTGCCCCTTGCTGACCCAAGATAGCTGCCTTCATCCACCCCTTCCCCTTACCTTGGCCATGCTCTTGTACGTGCTCTGGGGTAGGAATTATCTCGTTATTATGTATGCTCATGCAGAACGAGGAGTCTTTGATCTCAGCAGCTACATCCTGCATTACAGCAGTAGGAGTATTTAATAATAATAGCAAGGATCCATTTATTAGTTTTAAACTTCCCTACGTATGTGCTTTTTCTGAGATGCATCCAGTCCCTTGTCTGGTTCCTGAGACAGCATGTTTGCTTGGGGAGTGCAAATGAGCCTCTTGTCCTTGTTTGATAGAGTCTGTGTCTCGCTGGATCAAGTGGCTGAAGCCACAGAAATGTGCTGTAGGAGCCGCCTCCCCGCTCACGCTGCAGTGTCTGACTGGCAAGAACAGAGGGAAGGCGGCAGGAGAGGAGAGCTTTTTCATGTGTGCAGTCGGAGAGTGTTTGCACTTCTCTTTCACAAAAGCTCGAATCCCTCACCTTGCTCGCCGGTAGCCTTGTGTTCTCTCCTTGAGTCTTTCAGCTGATGTTTCATTGGGCTCAGGGGTGTTTCCTGCTTCGCCTGAATGCCCGGTATGGTGTCYGGGAGCCCAAAGGACACGTGGCTTGCTTTTCTCCTTGAAAGAAATCATTGGCATCTTGTACTGCTGATYTTAGAAGTGAGCCTGACACAGCTTGTTTTCTTACTGTGCCTTTGCCTTTTAGTTTTGGGGGTTGTATCTTTTCTGGACAGAATTTCAGAGTCAGTTATTTTCTGGATCTATATGGAGGGGGAGAAAAAGGGGGTTTGCTACACATATTACTGTCTTCAATTCAAAACAGTGTAGTTCTTGTGCTTGATGTTCCTGTTTTTTCATAACTCTTGTTGGGTGTGAATTTGAAACAAGCTTGTGCTGAAACAACATGGATTTCTTTGATTGCAGTATTTTAAAGATAGCAAACAATGTCCAGCCTGTTGTCTGAGGCTAAAGCAGCACAGTGCTATAGTCATCATTCAGCTGAATTTCATGCCGTAGACTTGTGGATTAATGAAGCTGCTGGTATTTCTTGGGCTGGTTAAAACACTGCCCAGAAGATCCTGTGACAGAACCTGTCCTCCACACATCATTGAGCCCAAACTGCCGAAGTGGGAAAATGCTYCTGCGCATGGACAAACAGGGCTGGATCATTCCCAGCTTCTCCATTGATCCCAGTATAAGGTGAGTGTAGTCCTGGATGCTGAACAGTATTTCATGCTGGGGCTGTGTGGTTTAGCATATTGATTCCTAAGGCTGTCAGCTCGTGTTCCCTCTGAATTTCAGGTCCCAGATGGAAGGTGCTTTGTGATTTCAGCCCTGGTCCTGATGGATGCTGGCTCATAGCAGGATAAAAGCACATTCCCAAATGAGACGAACATGATTCAAGCTTTGTGTTTTTAAAGCTGCTTAGATAAATGAAGCACCCAAGCTTAAAGGAGGGTGAAGGTCTTTTGATGGCAGTTCTGGKCTCAGAGCAGGAGTCCTGCTCCATCTGAGCCACATCCTTGCAGGCAAAACAACAYGTTTTCCAGAGAAAGTAACTAACCTGATGAAGACTCACAAAGGAGCAGTGGGAGATGCACAAGCTTCTTTCCTGTTTTCTCATCCTTTTTCCCCCTCCACTTATTTTCATTTTGTAATTCTTCTTAAGGCATTTGTATGTGCAAATTCTTGGCGTAACCGCTGGTCTTGGAGTCCACCAAGAGCACCAGAGCTCATCTTACATCTACGGAGCACCCGAGCTACATCTGCACTAGCTTTCTTGGCCATTGTGGGGCAATGTTAATGCTCACACCACCCCCATCTCTACTGCCATCTTGTCAAGCTCAAATTTACCTAGACACCCCCACAGTTCTCCCCCAAAGRACATATGGAGTCGCTGGATATGGATCTCATTCCTCCTTGTGCTGGCCAGCCCCGAGCTGAATCGACCCTCCTCTTAGCTYGAGTCTAGACAGTCTCCACGGGGGACAGCTCTGCCCTGCCCTGCGCGATCGCTTCCAGCTGCTCTTCCTTGGGCTCCTTTTGAACCATCCAAACAGCTTTGCCCCCTCTTTCCTTGCCCAGAGGGACCCTTCTGTGCTGCAGCGTGYTCCAGGGTTTCTGTACAGAGCACCCCAGAGCTGCCATGGGTTCCAACCGTGCTCCCGTTACCAAGGAAAGTGGCTCAAGGCACTCGGAGCGAGTCCAGTAGGATTTGTGGCATTTCCAACACCCACATGTTATTGACTCCCCTGCCTTTGAAGTGTGGTCAGGGCTTTATCTATTGGTAATAGGGAGAATTAAAAATTTCCTTTTTTTAAAAAAAAAAAAAAAAGAAAAGAAAAGAAAACTTGGCACCTTACTTAAAAAGGCAAGTAAAAGCCATAACAAAGTTGTTAAAAGTTCAAAAGAAATGCTAATCCCTGTAATGTGGACTAATCAACTTTTATCCAGACAATCCCATTGTATCTCTCAGGCCTAACTGGTTAAGGATTCCCACAGGCAAGTGCTGCGCTTTAACTCCTTGAGAGCTGCGTTCTTACCTGTAGTTATTCTGTGTGGAGTGAGACTGTTTCATCCCCACTCTGAAATGGTCKGATATGTTGTTGGATTCAACAGCTTCAGCTGTGCTCACACTTGCCTAGTTATTTTTTTTTAAATAGATGTGGAAACACAATGTCCCCAAAGAGAATGAGGCTGAGCCGTCACAATGTGAAGGACTTCTGTGGAGCTGCTTCACCTTCAGCGGCATTAACAACTGGGAATACAAGTACATGGGTCTAGGCAGGATGTCAAGGTGACCCTGCTTGCGCAGGGCGATTGGACTCCTTCTCCTTGCAGAGGTCCCTTTCAACCTCAGTCATTCTGTGATACGATATTTGAAGCAGTCATCTTCATACAAGTATCCCAAGGTATTGATTGCACTTCACATTAATCAACGTTCAGGTTTTGTTGGTCTCAGACCTACCTGTTTCTGTTTTTGGGGTTTTTTTTTTTCTTTTTAAGACATCTTAGATCCTGCAGTACTAGGTATTGATTGGGCTCTGCAAGCAGTTCTTTGGTGTTTTCAGTGCTGTATTAGTATCTTGGGATCATTTGTGTGTTAGAATTCTGCAGCTGCAGAGCTGAAAACAGGAGCTGGTCTCATTTGGGAGGGAGAATCCATGGAGAATGGCAGCTGCAGGGCCAGATGTGTTGTGCTCAGAGTAGCTGCAGAGGTAGAGCCAACTCTTAGCCCTGTTGGTGGTGKTTATAGTGAAGCCTTCTGCCTCATTTTCATCTTGGGGAGTAATGTGTCTCTTAATTACTCTTTACTGACATAGGAGCTTAGATATTTACCTTGCAAATCCTTTCCATCTTTCTCAAAACTATACTGGTCAAACCTCAAATTATGTGAGTTATGGGCATGCCTAAATAAAATTTGCTGTGGCTGTTCTGCAATTGGAGGCTACTTAACAAATAAATTATGCTTCCTCCACTGTAGTCGTCTTGGCTATGCACATTCTTGAGCCGTCCATTGTCCCTGAAACACCAAACCTTTCAAAAATAGAAAGACTATCCATCCGAGCTGGGTAGTGGTGGGGAGTGGTGGTTTCTGCTGCCCTGTGAAATCTTTAGCTCCTAGAAAAAGAGCTTTGTTAGGATGTGTGGACAGAGGAGCAACTGAGCTGGCCCCCTTGAAACCCTCAACATCCAGGGATCTGCCAGCCTTTTGCCCTAGCATTGGCTGGGAATGGAGCTTCCCACCCTGGCTTCCCAGTGCACTTATTTGCCTCTTCCCACCTTGTTTGCAAAGGGGAGAGGAAGGTTGCCAGGGGATGAAACCCAAATCCCATTTCACATGGAACCAATATGATCTGGTGCACTGTGGGGGAGGCACCTTTCATCTTGCCGAGGCGGGAGGCTGGCTGGATYGTGCTGGCCTTCGGAAGCATGTCTCCTCAAATTAAATGGATAAAGGAAGAAGACGGCGGGATGAAGGAAAGGAGGGGCAGATGCTACCTCTGACCAGACAAGCTGCATGTCCTCAGTAAGTGGTTTGCCATTAAACAGGTCCCTCCCTGCTCTGCAACTCTCCCAGCCCAGAGCATCTTCCAATTTCATGGTGGCTTCTCCAAACAAGCTGTGACAGAAATCCAGTCAGGAGCTAAGCAGCTTCCCTTGGAAGCTGGGATATGCTGAAAGAATTGTAGCTTTCTCAAGGAAAAGCTTAGA